ACCCTATCCTTTAAAGGAGCCCCTTAACCCTAAGCCCTAAACCCTGAACCCCGCACCCTATCCGCTAAAGGAGCCCCTTAACCCTAAAACCCTTAGCCCTAAACCCCGCACCCTATCCTTTAAAGGAGCCCCTTAACCCTAAACCCTACACCCTTGAAAGGAAGACCTGATCCCTCCTTGTGCTTGACGATCTCCCTCTGCGCAATCTCGCAAAGCTCTGCGCAGCGCTTCTCCTTCTGGCAGAGCTTCAGCTCCAAAACCTGGGCGTTTCAGGGTTTGGGGCTCAGGGGTTTTAGGGTTCAGGGTTTAGGGTTCAGGGGTTTAGAAGTTATTGGCCTCAAAATCAGAGAGCTGCGGTTGAAAACCTAGGCGCTACAGGGGTTTAGGGTTTGGTTCTACCGACGGTTCATCAAAGACATGCTTTTGCTTTTACAGGGTTGTGTGTCTCCAGACGGCTTTAACAGGGCTTCGATGATGCTTTCAAGTTGAGGTGTTGTCAACCGTGTTTGAGGACGAGGAACGGCACTGGGCTGAGTTGAGGCTTGGTGTGGTATTTAGGATTTAAGGCGGTAGGGTTGCATGGTTAGGAGTTAGACCGAAGTATCCCAAAGTGCCACCTGGTAATACTCCGTTCCTTGTCGAAGGTAGGCAGCAATCTACATCTCTGGAGATTCCTAACAAAGAGCTGAGGAACCATTGCGCAAGTGAACGAAGAACCAAAGTCAAAGAAGTCACCAAGAAGGCAGTTCTCCAAATTAGGGTCCCCTTTCCGGTCCCCAATATAGTACGGCACCCTTATAAAAAGGATCCTAAAAGGGACCCCAATTTAGAGAACTACCCAAGAGCCGTGGGGAAACCACTGTCTGGGAGCTAAACCAGCCAACAAATATTTGGACACTTGGGCCCCTACCGCAAACCCGAAACTGCAGACCCTCTAGCTGGTGAATACTCTACCCAGCGGGAAGCCGAGTTAGAACCCCACATTTATGAAGTGCTGACTTAGTTTCTGAGCCCGTTAAGTAGGGTTTAGGATTTAGGGTTGAGGGTTTATAGGGTTTAAGTAAGTAGGAGGACCCTCAAGTAAAACCCTTACCTGCTCCCTGAACCCAGCCAGACACCTCAACCCTAAACGCCCTAAACCATAAACAGATAGTCAAGAAGCCTTAATAATCATAATTGGGTTCCGGGGCCCAGTATACTATAGTTATAACACGGACCCCCCCCCAACAAATTATGTAGGTAATTATTGGGGGGGGCGCCTAAATTCATCAAGAGGCATTGTCAAAGAAGCGGAAGTCCTGGAACTGCCTCTTCTTCAGGCACCTCCATTCCAAGGGCTTCCCTTAATAGAGGTTTAGGGTTTAGGGTTTAGGGTTTAGGGTTTAGGGGTTTAGGGTTTAGGGCTTTAGGAGGGACCCTTCATAGGCACCCTTGTAGGTTATTGGGGTTTATCTTCATAGGGACCTAATAGGGACCCTTGTAGGTTATTGGGTTTTTTTTTATGAAGATTACCTGGCTATATATAAGGGGTATATAAGGACTATGCAAGGGCTATTGAAGGTCATGGTCCCTATTCGGGGGTCCCTCCTCAAGTCCTTAGATCCATGGCTTTAACTCGCTGCAGATGCTGGGCTGACACGACTATCCCTAAGGGTCTAAGGGTCCACGTGCCCAAATAGTATATACTCTGGCCTTGAAGGACTTCCCGTATAGGGTTTAGGGTTTATAGGGTTAAGGGTCCATGTGCCCAAATATTATATACTTTGGCCTGAAAGGACTTTTATAGGGTTTAGGGTTTAGGGTCCATGTGCCCAAATAGTATATACAATGGCCTTACAGGACTTACCCTGTAGGGTTTAGGGTTTCGGGGCTTATAGGGTTTAGGGTGTAGGGTCCATGTGCCCAAATAGTATATACTTTGGCCTTAAAGTACTTACAGTCCCTTTTTGGGTATATACTCTGGGGGGGCAAAGTAGATACTACGTGGGCACATGGACCCTTGGAGTATTTTTGAAGAGGTACGTCCTGAGAACCAGGGAAACTGATCTCATCCCAAATCACCACGAATCCGAAACCCTCGCGCTGAAACCTAAACTTCACTAAACCTGAAACCCTGAACCCTGAACCCTAAACCCATCCTAAACCCTGAACCCTAAACCCATCCTAAACCCTGAACCCTAAACCCATCCTAAACCCTGAACCCTAAACCCATCCTAAACCCTGAACCCTAAACCCTCAGCCCATCATAAGGATCCTCGGGCCCTGAAGTCCAAACGTCGGAATCCTGAACTGAGTTACAACCCAAACCTCGAAAGCCTAAACCGTACACCCTAAATCCTAAACCCCCAAACCTCGAAACCCTAAACCCTAAACCCCTAAACCTCGAAACCCTAAACCTAGACCTGGCAATACCTGGAACCTTAAACCCCCAAGCCCTAAACCCCTAAACCCTAAACCCCAAACCCTAAACCCTAAACCCTAAACCCTAAACCCTAAACCCCCAAGCCCTAGAGCCCAACAAGTCGAGACTGAAAGCCCTGCTCTCAAGATTGGTTTTTAGGGTTTCAGGGTTTAGGGTTTAGGGTTTTACTGCTCCAACACAGTAAATGTCTATAATAAGGGTACTACTGTTGATGATGTAAATCCTGCGTTACCTTATCCTAAACTATGGGAATTAGGGTCTTTTCCTGATTATAAGTAATGCCGGATTTAGATCATCAGCCGCAGGATTTAGGGTTTAGGGTTTCGGGGCCTTATATCTCTATGTCATGCGTATTCTTCAACGGGCAGCATCCAAACCTTCAGCTTTAAGTAAAAGGCTCTCCGGATTTTTGAAGGTGCCTAGGGGCCCTTTACTTGACGGGTTCTGTAGGGTCAGAGTTTAGGGTTTAGGGTTTAGGGCCGGGCAGAGGTTGAACCAACATGGTACCGGTAACTGAGCAATAGTATACTCAACTAAGCCGTAATTCAAAGTTTGGAGTTTTGGATGACGATCGTCTAACTCTGGCAACATGAACCAGTTCCTGAACAAGAACTTGAAACATGCATCGGGTGACTCTACTGTATACCCAGGGTTCCTGTGCGGGGTTAATAGCATCCTATCACTGATCATGAAGGGGGGCGGCTCTGGGTACCAAGATGAGCTATGTTTCGGGGTAAAGCTGTGCTGCCTGGTAGAATCCTCAACCCTAAAACCAGTGAAGGAACACCTAAAACCCTGAAACTCTACACCCTACACCCTCAACCCTAAAACCTACATTCTAAACCCCCCATTATGATCAGGCTCTCGTGGCTCTCCGGACTCTGTGAGCTTGGGATCTGAGTTGGGAGGTCCAGGGGTACTGACCCTAAACACTAAACCCTAGACATGCCTTTGGGCTTTGGGTTTAGGGTTAGGGGTATACTTTAAAGGACTTCCTGGGTCCTGCATAGTACCGTGAGGGTCCGAGTTCCTAGTCTCGGAAAGGTCGGGTTTAAGTTTTTTTTTCTTATGGGTTTGGGGTTTAGGGGCCTATGGGTGATTAAGGGTTTAGGGTTTAGGGTTTGTCAAAGTAATCACATAATGACCTACACAACCACTGTTTGAGGTCCTGGGGAAATGTAGACAGTACAGATATACAATAGGGTCAATATATATATATATATATATATATTTATATGGAACATGGGCCCTGAAAGGAAGCTACATGGACAGAGCTGAACTGAAACATGTGGAAACCCGCCTTGTCGTAGCATGCTTGTACTTCGGACCAATTGGGTAAGCAGCATGTAATGTAGGAGCCTTAATAATTAGAATAGGGTTTTGGGGTATATAATACTATAGTTATAAGAAAGGGACCCCCAGAACAGCACAGGTAATTAATTAGGCCCCTACAATATTGATTGTATCTTAGGCTTGGGGCTTGTCCCATGGCGCCTCCTCATGAGGTCTTGCGCGGCAACCAGATTCCTCAGATGATATAATCAATATAATCATTGTGCACCCGGAAACGCTAAACCCTAAACCCTAAACCCTAAACCCTAAACCCTAAACCCTAAACCCTAAACCCTAAACCCTAATCTCTCATAACTAATCAAGGGACCTGAGGTTACGACCTCAAGTCGGCAGCAGGTCCCACTAAGGTACAGGATCCCGAAAGGCCGCGCAGCATGATTCGACGTCTGAAAACGGTTATGGGATGCTTAGGGTTTAGGGCTTAGGGTTTAGGGTTTAGGGTTTAGGGTTTAGGGTTTAGGGGTTTAGGGTTTAGGGTTTAGGGTTTAGGGTTTAGGGTTTAGGGTTTAGGGTTTCTAGAAGAATGGGGGACGAAAATCACATAATAGAGATGGAGCTTGTGTAAAACAGATGTGCATTAATACTATGCAAGCTCGAAAACAGTACCCTTCTAGCTACTCAGACCGCTATATTTTATGTGGGCTACTCCGAAGCTCATGGCCATCAGGGAAACACAGAGGTCGAAGTGGAAAGGCGAATGACAACTCGTGCATCAGAGCAGTTTCGTCCCCAAGGATCCTGCAGACAATTTCTTTCTGAATGGAGAGACTAAACTCTAAATAGCCTACCTTTTCTAGGGTTTTTTTATTATGATTTCCCTATATATCCTTGTATAAACCCCTAATCTAAACCGGACCCTACACCCTAAACCTTGAAGGCAGAGTTCGGGGGCCTTTGGATCTGGGAGCCTTTTTGGGAGTCCAAAGGGTTTAGGGTTTAGGGTTTAGGGTTTAGGGTTTAGGGTTTAGGGTTTAGGGTTTAGGGTTTAGGGTTTAGGGTTTAGGGTAAGTACTCCCTCAGGATCCATGTGCCCTTTTGATATCCCAAAGGGTTTAGGGTTTAGGGGACTTAGGCGGGGGAAGTTTACCCAAGCCATAATAGTAATTCCTCATTTAGAAGCACAGCTGCCTACGGTTTAAATACTTAGGAACTTAGGATCCTTGAGGGATATACTTTGACCCGAAAGTACCTAACAAAGGGGCTATAGAGTACATGGGCCCTTAAAGACCTGACTGGTGTGATTTGGGAGGTAGGGTGTAGGGTTTAGAGGTTTAGGGTTTAGGGTTTAAGGTTTAGGGTTTAGGGGGTGTAGGCTTTACGGGTTACTTGTATGTATGGACGCCTGACGTTGCACCATGACTCCAAACTTACAAAGCCTTCCAGAACACAGGAAGAACACTTCGGAAGTCATAAATCCTGTAAGACACTTCTTGAAACCGTAAATTGAGTTAATCCGAGACACCCTTACACAACTCCGTGCAACAAGCCCAGTAGACCCCGTGCGGGTCCCTTGAAGACATCTGAAGTTCAGGAATTTTTGGGGTGTTAAGTAAACCCTACATCCTAAACTCCGTAGGGTTTGTAGTGGAGGGTTTGAAGGCTTTAGGATATTTAAGGTTTAGGGGCTTAGCTTGTATCTGTATGTTCTGCAGGGTTTGCTGAGGGCTTCTAAAAGAACCTAAAGCCTTAAAGGAGCCCTTAAAGGAAACCTAGACTCGTAAAGGAACCTCCTTAACAAAACGCTGCCAAGGCGTCCCCTTCTCGCGGCATCGATGTCCGAGATCCGCGTAGGCCGTCGCCTCGGCCTGGCTGTCATTGCACAGCCGGGACACCTCAGAAGCGACTCTGAAGCCTTGCGGGTTTAGGGTTTAGGGCTTAGGGGTTTAGGGTTTAGGGGTTTAGGGTTTAGGGTTTAGGGGTTTAGGGTTTAGGGGTTTAGGGTTTAGGGTTCAGGGCCTGACATAATTACATAGACCCTATAAGAGACCTTCGGTTTCCTTGTACCGTAAAGGGGTAGGTTCTTTGGGGTCCAGGTATACCCTGAAGCTCAGCTCTATTCCAAAAGCATTCAGGGACACCTCGGAAGTTGAAGTTTGGCTAAACCCTAAACCCTAAACCCTAAACCCTAAACCGTAGAGGTGGGGTTTGCCTGAAGGCGCGGCTTGGCCGGGTTGAGGGTTTAGAGATTCGCGGAATTTAGGGCCCGGGATTGTTGGGAGGGAGAGGGTAACAGTACATAGGACCATTTGGGTGCGATCCCAGCCTATCTTCGGGTTTAGGGTTCAGGGGTTTAGGGTTTAGGGTTTAGGGGTTTAGGGTTTAGGGTTTAGGGTTTAGGTACCCTAAACCCTAAACCCTAAACCCTAAGCCCTTCGGGTTTGGGGCTCATGGGATCTCCCTGTACCCTAAACCCTAAACTCGAACCCTAAACCCAGAAAGCCCTAAACAGTTCCAGGCTTAGGGTTCAGGGTTTAGTAATAGGGTTTAGGGTTTAGGGTTGAGGGTTCTGTTTAGGGCTTTCTGGGTTTAGGGTTTAGGGTAAGCTTAGGGGTCCGAAGATCATGGACCTCCACCATGAAGAGTTGGGATTAAGGGGACCCTTTGGGTCCAAGTACCTAAGAATCATATGCTCCCCCAAATAGCAACCTAGATAACCCACACCCGTAACCCAAATCCTAACCCCTAAACCCTAAACCCTGTATATGGGAGCTAGGATTAGGGGGACCCTTGGGGATATAGACCCTCTCAATAAGGTCCCTTCTGAGAGAGCCAGAAGTGGGTTCAGAAGGGTACCCTTTGAGGGGTCTCCCTAATAATAATACCTATAGTAGCTATAGTCTTGTTTTTAAACCCTTAACCCGAGCCGCGTTGGAACAAAAACACGAAGCCGGGCAGGTGATTCCCCAAACTCTGAAGCCTCAACCCTGAACCCTGAACCCTAAGCCTTGAACCCTGAACCCTAAGCCCTGAACCCTAAACCCTGAACCCCAAACCCTCAATCGCCTCCGGCAGGGTCCTTCTCTGCTTTCTCACCTCCGACATCCCGGAGAGCTCCAAGACCCCGAGACTGGGCTATAAAAGGGAGGGAGAGATGTAAACAAACTGAACGTATGCATATGGCATATAGCATATGCATGCATGGAGAGAGGGAGGGAGAGATGGAGGGAGGAACGGAGGGATGGAGGGAGGGAGGGAGGGAGGGAGGGAGGGAGGGAGGGATGTATACATCTACATTGATGTACGTTGTATGTATGTATGTATGTATGTATGTATGTATGCATGCCTGCATGCCTGCATGCATGCATGCATGCATGCATGCATGCATGCATGCATGGATGTACGCATGTCTTTATGCAGCATGCACGCATGGATGGATGGAGGGATGGATGTAAGAGGCCTCAGGCGTGATTCCAAAGCGTTAGAATACAGGCTCGCGTGTTTCCTTTCCCGAACCCTCAGCAATTGTCCATGGACCAATGTGGGCAACAAGGCCAACGCACTGTAGCAGAAGTACTTGCGCGGCTGGGAAGAAATAGCAACTTGAAATGGGGGCTAAACTAGGGGCCTTAACAGTTAGAATAGGATTTTGGAGTATGTCATACTATAATTATACTAAGGAACACCCCAAATAGTATTGGAAATTCTTCAGGCCCTCGTCTACATGGTCACTTATCGTCATAAAGACAAGAGCTGTGGCGAGACGGCTTGTACAGTGCCTTCCCAGCCCTGGACTTCAAGCCGTCTAAACCCCAAACCGACTAAACCGGAGAACATGCCAAAACCGTGCGCTGGGGGTTTAGGGTTCAGGGTTTA